ATTACAGGATCTATAATTGAATACAGGAAAGTTAATATTTACTTTTTAATATCGGGGAATATTTTCTCATTCGAACTTACTTTAAAGTTAATAAAAATTAATTACAAATTCACATGTGAAGAATATAGATATGGAATTAAAGGTTTAATCTAATTATAGCTCATAACAGGCAATGCGTCGTTCGTAGACATACACTTATGATGTCATCATCGGTGTCAAGCATATATATTTATACAGTAGGGCCTAAGACGTGTCACACATCAGCTGTCATATAGAAATTGAGACATAGTACTGAGAACAGTACTATCATGGACCTGGATAAGAGGGTACAGTACTACTAATTGGTATACGGACTATCTGTGTGCAAATCTTCAAGTGAGAAATGATGTTTGCCCTGGCAAAATATTTCGAAACGATCAGCATAAAAATTGGTAATGTGCTCAAAAACAAATTTAGGATTAAAAGAAAAAAAATATGCGGAACTCTCATTTATAAAGATAACCATAGTCAATCGGGATAATGTTTGACCATCAGACAGGCTGTAAAATTTAAAGGCGTTGTAAAAATAGCGGAACGTACTGGAGGGCATTTATGTGATGGATTGATGATTTTGCCCAGTATTCCACTATGAGCATTGTATTGACGAATTAAAATAACAGCAACCAATAATAATATAATTATAATCAAAAACTCAAAAACAATCTTAAGTGGGAAGACTAGACACTTTGAAATTTTATGTCTTTTGAAAAATTAAGTGACTACAGTGTTTTAGTATTATAGGCCTATTTAATATTTATCGATTACGTTATTCCTTCCACGCAAGCTTAAAATTAATTATTAATAATCGTCATCCTTAACTTTTAACATTCGAATATTTAAAATCTAAAACTGACTCTTCGAAATTTTCAATTCTAACTAGATTTGTGAATTTGTGGAATAACATCCATTCGGATATTCGAAATTATTTCATTATATCTAATAATTATGTTTTGTTTAAATGTACCCTAGGTTAAAAAAATATTAAAATGATTTTTAAACGTTTGATATTGATTTATTATTATTATTATTAATAATAATAATAATAATTATTATTATAAATAATAATAATAATAATAATAATAATAATAATTATTATTATTATTCTATTAACACGTGTTTTGTTTAAATGTAGCCTAAGTTAAAAAAATATTTAAATGATTTTTAAACGTTTGATATTGATTTATTATTATTATTATTATTAATAATAATCATAATAAAAATAATAATAATAATAATAATAATAATAATTAGTATTGTTAATAATAATAATTATTATTATTATTAATAATAATAATAATAAAT